GGTGTGCGGTGGTGAGAGGTGAGAGTGTGTGTGTGTGTGTGTGTGTGTGAGTGAGTGAGTGAGTGAGTGAGTGAGGGTGTGTGTGTAGGTGTGTGTGTGTAGGTGTGTGTATGAGTGAGTGAGTGAGTGAGTGAGTGAGTGTGTGTGTGTGTGTGTGAGAGTGAGAGTGTGTGTGTGTGTGTGTGTGTGAGAGTGAGTGAGTGAGTGAGTGAGTGTGTGTAGGTGTATGTGTGTAGGTGTGTGTGTGTGTAGGTGTGTGTGTAGGTGTGTGTGTAGGTGTGTGTGTGTAGGTGTGTGTATGAGTGAGTGAGTGAGTGAGTGTGAGTGTGAGTGTGAGTGTGAGTGTGAGTGTGTGTGTGAGTGTGAGTGTGAGTGTGTGTGTGTGTGTGTGTGTGTGTGTGTGTGTGCATGTCTGTCTCTGTGATTCCCTGTGAGTGAGTGAGTGAGGTGTGTAGGTGTGTGTGTGTAGGTGTGTGTGTGTGAGTGAGTGAGTGAGGTGTGTGTGTGTGTGTGTGTGTGTGTGAGAGTGAGAGTGTGTGTGTGTGTGTGTGTGTGAGAGTGAGAGTGTGTGTGTGTGTGTGTGAGAGTGAGTGAGTGAGTGAGTGAGTGAGTGAGTGAGTGAGTGAGTGTGTGTAGGTGTGTGTGTGTGTGTGTGTGTAGGTGTGTGTGTGTAGGTGTGTGTGTGTAGGTGTGTGTGTGTGTAGGTGTGTGTGTAGGTGTGTGTATGAGTGAGTGAGTGTGAGTGTGAGTGTGAGTGTGAGTGTGAGTGTGTGTGGGTGTGTGTGTGTGTGTGTGTGTGTGTGTGTGTGTGTGTGTGTGTGTGTGTGTGTGCATGTCTGTCTCTGTGATTCCCTGTGAGTGAGTGAGTGAGTGAGTGAGTGAGTGAGTGAGTGAGTGAGTGAGTGAGTGAGTGAGTGAGTGAGTGTGTGTGTGTGTGTGTGTGTGTGTGTGTGTGTGTTACCTAAACATAGCCACACAGTTACAGGTGGGCCAGCCCATGACGAAGCTCCTCTCTGGGTTCGTGCTCCCCTCACACACTTCGTCCATGCAGCCTGCCGTCCACATCTCACACACACACACCTGCGCCTTCTGCTTGAAGTGATTGGCTGATCTGGGAATGCAGAGGAAGGCACCCAAGATTCAAGATTCAACGCTTTTAATGTCATTTGTACAGCAGCTACAGTGTAGATATGACAATGGGTCACAGGCTCCTCCAACAGTGCAACACAATAAAACAGATATAATAGAAATTGTGCAGAATAGTCAATATACAAGTAATTGGAATATTGATATATATAAGTTACAACCAGAAGAATGTCTCTCATTTGTGTCTACTGATTAATGGACACTACATTTTGGCTACATGGTCTGTTTTGGTTATAATTATGGTTTTAATATTGTACGCCTTCAAGTGAAGATCATCTATGTATGGCTCGTAGCTTTGAACTGTTCAATCTAACCTATCAATGTACCAAATGTATTTTCTATGTGTCTTCAATACAAATATGAAAAAACCTTACTTGGCTTTGGCGATCACCAGCAAGTCGCTGAACAGGAAGAGGTGTCGGTCCTGAGTCTGCATCCCCGTCTTCAACTGAGCGTTTCCGTGGAGAAGAAACGACCTATCAGAGCCGGGGAGGAGGAGGGACTGGACCAATGAGCAGCTCTCTGGACACACTGGAACCAGGAAGCTGTCTCTGAAACAGGGCGGAAAAACAAGAATTCACGACTCAAGGCTTTTATTGTCATGTGTTCATAGCTACAGTGTAGTTATGACAATGACAATCGTAGGCTCCTCCAACAGTGCAACACAATAAAACAGATAATAGTGCAAGTAATACAAATAAAATAGAATAGAAATGGTGCAAGGAGAGTCTATGTACAAGTAATTGGAATATTGATATATATATATGTTGCAAACAGATGGATGTTCTATCAAAAGTTCAGGTGTTTAATAGTCTTATGGCCAGTGGGATGTTTTTATTTTACTCATCAAAATATCCTGTGTTTTACATATGCAGCTGATACAAATACTTACAAATAGTACAATTAATTAAGTAACTTCATTACAGTTAGATTCAATGGGTAGTTGATATATATGCTGTCACTTTGGATAAAGCAACAGCTAAATGAAATGTAATGTAATTACTGGATCACCATCTCGGACATTTCACATCAATTCCCTTCATCATACAAAGATGATCATTATGTGTCAGCCAAGGTTTCTTTTGCATCAAAATAAAATATGTACAGCAGAAAATTAGGAAGAAGGAAGGTATACAAGGCTCACTAGTCATCACAATATACATTTAATTCATCATGTTAACATACTAGATTACACCTGAAAGCTCACAACATGCTAATGGGTTTTTATCATAGCCAGAAAAGTACAAATCAAACCTTCAACGTATTTGTTTACTGATAATAAATCAAAATCACTCTATTCTACATGTTTCACTTAAAGGGGACCTATCATGCAAAATGCACTTGTGTACGTCTTTTCTACATGAATATGTGTCCCCGGTGTTCCAGGGAACTCACCAAGTGTCAGAAAACACAACCCTCTCTATTTTCCTCCATACCCAAATCTCTAAAAAAGGGGCTGCAACGGATCTGATCAAAACTGATCCAGATTTGAACACTGTCCTGACGTCAGGACGGTGGCGCTACGGCTATTGGGCCAACTCCACCAATCAGGAGGAGACAGCCACGGCCATTGCCGTTCGAAAGCGCTGGAGACGCTGTAGTACATATGCCAGGCCTGTAGATGGTGCTGTTCTCACTGAATCTGCCCTTGCAAAAACAGAGCTTAAAAATGTCAAATTGAGCAAAATGAGGCATGGCTAAAATGCATGATCTGTTTGGTATTTTGAAAAAAAAAAGTATAAATATGCCTTATATAGGTATGGTCCTACACTATATTATTCAAATATAGCATGATAGGTCCACTTTAAATAATAACAACAAATAAACATCTTGCATTAACCACATCCTGTTAAAAACATTACATTCTGCACTTTTCTGCTCATGAGACCAAAACTCAGAGGACAAAAGTGTTTTGATGAAGATTTGGGACACCAAGACAGACCCTCTTTGACTCCAACTTCATTCATTGCAGACTTTGTTTAATATCACAAGATGTTGATGCAACCCGAGCAACTCACAGTACCTTCAATGATTTGTAACTTGCTGTAAATCATATCATTACATCATAGTACAACCCAGTAAATGTGCCATATCAACATATGCCTTTGATTTCACATGTACCGTGTTTCAATATTTCTCAAAAGCAACTGCGAAACCATCTTGCAAACAAATCCTCAATTATAAAACCTTTTGACAGTTTGGTATATTTGATATATTATGGTACATCTATAGAGACATCGGGTTAAGGTTGATTTACTTGGTATGTTCTAAAAATAGTTTTAAAGAGACACCAAAAAATAAATAAATATGTAAAACAAAAACCAAGAATCAATCAATGATATGTAACTTGCTGTAAACCAGTGTATCTGACTGGTAATGCATATTAGCTGCTAACTCAATGGTTAAAACTGGTCCTTAAATGTTTTGAGGTGTACAGTGTTGGTTTATCAGAAGGCATGTTTGGCAGAGTAGACATAATCCTCCCCCGTCTCTTCTGATGGCCTCTCTCTTATTAGATTATTCACTTCAGATCTCTGTCTCTTTGCCTCATCATCGAATACTAAACAACTCCAGAATCCTGACAATCCTGACATACATGAACATTGAGTTTGCATGATCCCCTTTGATAGAGATTGATAAGAGATGAAAGGACTCCTGGCTGCATGTAAATGGGACTTTATGTGATTCTGAGTCATGGGTTCAAATCTAAAGAGCTCGCTTCCTTCAATCTATGGTTTTCCCAGGCGACTATATTTGATATTTCCCAAAGAGATGTCGTCATATTTCAGAGGTATGTCTTATCACTTTTTCCACACCTAAACTAAACATTATGTGCAGACTAGGAGTCTAGGTGTTTGAGAATAAGGGTAAGGGGTCAGTGGGTGTTTTTTTAACGAGGTTACTTCTTCTTCACTTTCCCTGTCTGTACGTTTAAAGACAGGGCTATTAATAGATGCCTGATCCTCTGATAAGTCTGCGTCCAGGAGGATTAACTATCCGAGTCGATTCAACACCTCACTAAGGGGGGTTGGGTGTGTGTGTGTGTGTGTGTGTGTGTGTGTGTGTGTGTGTGTGTGTGTGTGTGTGTGTGTGTGTGTGTGTGTGTGTGTGTGTGTGGATTCAGGGTTTTGTTTGACTTCTGTTAAAGTGAGCTGGACGTTTAGAGCTTGACCTAGTCACCTGGATAAACACTGCTGAAGGTGTCAACTTACAAAATGAAATGTGCAATGTGAAAAAAATAGGCATAATTACGGCGTACTACTAGCATTAAGTATTTAAATGTGTGTGCAGTACCTGGAGATAGTCTTGGACCTGATGAGAGCCTTGGAGATGACCATAGAGGGGGCGGACTGCCGCCGATAACTCTGAGACTTCATCCGCTAAAAACAGACAAAAACACACAATAAGTTCATGCAAATTAAAATATTATCTCACCTCTGCATGTGTGTAATGTGTGTTTGTATACAGTGTGTAACAAAAGGTCATATTAACTCTGTTTACACGTCTTTCTTCGACAGTAGAGAATCAAATATTTAATTTCTGATGACCAATATTCATACAGATTGCATCAAAGGAAGATATCCCTGGAAATCAGATTTGTATAGTGTTTAGCTGTGCAATTTACATTACCATTGACTTTATTATAGCACTAAACTAAGTCTTCAATGTGCATCAATTTGGATTTTACAAAAAAGTAGTAAAAGTGCATCAGAATTTAGCTTAAAAACAATATGTAACGTTTTTCTCCCTTAATCCCATATAAATGTAAAGACAAAACCTGTATAACACGTTACAACTTTTTAATGAAAGCCTTTACCTATCCTGCACAACTAAAAAGGCTCCAATCCCACAGAGAGCTGATCTCAGACCCTTTTTTTAAATGTCGTGTTTACACTTTCCTCATTCGTTATGTGCAACACATCCATCACACCGCTGGGACCGACGGTGGCCTCCAAAAGGACAGGAACGTCCGATTGAAGCAGGAGAATTTAAACACGGAGGAATGTCGCAGCATGTAGATTAACCCGGTGACAACATAGAGCAGTCTGTATAACGTCCAGCCTCATCTGTCTCTGCCATGACTCTCCTGACCTCTCTCACACTTCATCTGCACTGTGCACAAATGTGTGAAAACTGTGACGCTCTTATAGGATTTGTGGTGCTGCAGTGAACACATTTTAATCCAGAAATCTCCAGCTAGTCATTTAAAATGAACTACTTTAACTAAAGTATGGCACATTGAGACCCTCTTTTATGTCATCCTAGTACCCCCTTTACCTTTAATTGAATCTCATTGTATTAGGATGTGAGTTCAAAGCTAGGTGACAGATTACATAATTGTTATTTCATCGTGTGTCCGATTAACACACTCTGTGGTCACCTAATACTTATCATGATTAGTATAGTCATTTGTTAAGACAGGTAATCCACTTCTTAAGATGTACTTTGAGGCATTTTTTTCCTATTTCATGTATAACTTAATTTCATTGTAACTCTTAAATACATTAAGGTACAGACGTCCCTTGCAATATCAGCAATTCAAATCAATAAATAACAAAAATTCAAGGCCACAATTGCCTTTAGATAAAAATGCTTTTCATTGTTCTGCATGTTGTGCCATGACGCAATTCAGGAGGACAGAGTCAAACCAATAGTCATGTGTAAGTGTTTGTCATTATTTTTGCACTAAATAAAAACCAATGTTATTCAAATGTATCCTTAGAGGAACATGAACATTGTGATCCATGTTGTGGAGACATTTCAGTCTGAACGCATGACATTAAAGTCACTAATGTGTCCGTAAACTTTACAGAATCAAAAGCTCCACAGTGAGAAAAGATCAATCCAATCTCCACACATTTTTGACATTTCACAGTGTAATATCATTGATTTAGCAAGGGTCACACGGTGGTGAGACATTCCTCACTCTGCAGCCACAACATATACCTTTCAGTCCTTAGAATAAACTAACATGAACTCACAGCGAGGGTTAATGTAGGGAAACACACCTACTGATAGCATGTAAAGGATATTCATTTTTGCTAAACCAATGCACTTTAAACACCCTTTTTATGATGTATCTGATTATAGTACACATTGTTCATGACTATAATAGATTTTACTGCAATCTAAAATGATTATTATGTGTTAACAACCATCGAAACTATAATATACTCATGGAAAATAGTCATTATGAAATGCTTTCTAATGTGGTTTGATTGAATTCTGATTGTGTTGCTCACAAGTGCAGTTTCATGCCTAAAATAACAAGTTGATAAAACCTCACTTTGAATATAAGACACTTAATAATGCACTAGAATTAAGTAACATTGTTATTTGTTATCGTGTACATCTTCATCCTAAGGACTATTTGACTTGTTTGAGTGTCTTTATGGAGGCATATAGGACAAAGCACCCATTCATATTTCAGTTACTTTAAGGACATTTTTATTCTAATAACAACTGGTTAACTATTGTATAGGTAAACAAATATAAAGAGGCTTATTTGTACATGTTGTCTGGAGTTGTGCACTCATATTAAACGCAAATAGATTAGGAAAAGTGCATGTTAAACCATGACAACATATTAAAAATGTATTAATGACATAATGTGCACTCATATTAAATATATTAAACGCAAATAAATGACGAAATGAGCATTTTAACCCATGACTACATATTACCATGTGTTAGTGACATCGACATACCCGTGTGTTTTCCTGCTGCTGCTGCTGCTGCTGCTGCTGCTGCTGTGGAGACATGTCGTCCATCAGCCTCCAGACACTCACTGTCCGGCTGCCCTCAGGTGATTCAGCGGGGAAAAGAATCCCATTAACGTGCTCCTTCTCCGGGAGAAACGAACCATCCCAAAATCACCGGAAACTTTTTTAGCCTGCGCGTAAAATGGAAAACGTGATCAGCGAGGAAGGGAAAACAAGTTTAAAAAAACGTCAAAACATACGTATCTCCTTCTCTTTACCATCAAGGGAAGGTTGTGCTGTAACCAAAATCACCTCCTGCTGTCTGGATTATCAGATACTGTGGCACCCTCCTACAGTAATACGTCTTTACGCACCGAATGGAGGCGGTGCCAGTACGCTGCAAAACATAGGTCCGTCTATTTTTAAACCAAATTGCTCCATTCAATCTGCAGGGCAATCAGATTTACCCGAAAACAAACAAGGCAAAATAAGGTTTATTGGATGAGAGTAGCTGTGTGCTTTGGGGATTACGTTGTATTAAGAAGTCCAACAGGAGTAGAAAATGATTTATGGATCAATCTGCAAATCATTGTTGTCTATTAGCAGAAACAAGAGTAGATTAGACAGAATCATTCTTATGGTAAATAAGAGAAACATTCCCCCTGTCCTAAAACAAATGCCAAACTTACATTATTATTCTTTTTAAATGAACCAAATAATAGTTAAATATACTCCGTTAAAACTACATCTGCATGGCTTCTCTTGGTGTAGTGAAATAAAAAAACAAATATCAATAAAGGACGTAATGAAAAATAGACAGTAGCATGAACAAAAATCTAATTTTATAGACAGTTTGCAGCAAAGGCAACGGTGACCACAGTCTGTTTAACATATTGGGCATTAATACGGTAATAAGTTGACCTTGTATCTACTTTTATTTACACATATACAGTTAAACTATATGCACAAACTAGAAGGAATCCTGGGAACTTGTTCTAGCAGAAGTTATTTGGACGGTGATCGGATTAGCTGCAGGCTGAAGCTACATTATTAGATTCAGTGTCTCTGAGAAAACTGACTGCAATGTAGGCCAAAAGGTTGTAATGTAGGACACATTCACAACATAAATGAAGTGATTATCCTTCAATTAACTCTACAGAGAGACATCTTTGATCTGTGACGCAGATATTAATGTTCCAAAGCTGTAATTAGTTGGATAATAATAATAATAATCTCTATTTGAATAGCACCTTTCATACACTAAGTGCAGTCCAAAGTGCTTCACATAGACATTTCACAGAACATTGATAACAAACAGAATACAGATACCAGTAGGAGACATAAAAACTAACTTAAAATTGCATAGAGCAGACATTTAGATTAAAGGTACAAGAATGAAATTGTGCATTAAAAGGAGGATAGTGCAAATTCAAAACACAAGTGACAGGTTAAAATGCATCGCAATGCATTGAGAAGGTGCAGCAGAGAGAGAGCAGGAGTTTGCTTCCTAAAAGGCTAAATTGTACAAATGTGTTTTGAGTTTTTTTTTTAAAGACTTCCACCGAGCTGGCTTCCCTGATGTCTACAGGTATTTTGTTCCATAGCTTTGGGGCATAGCTCTTAAGCTGCATCACCAAACTTATTTTTACCGCTGTTTTATAATAACATTAATGTAAGACCATATCCAAGGAAAATGAAGGAAGGAAACGCAAAAGGACCAAGGATTGTTGCCCCAAAATCGATGGTCCTTCTGGAAAAGTGGGCCACAAACTGGGCTAAAGCAGAACAAGGCCAGAAAGTGAAGACGTGGGAGTATTCATTCCCCAAATTGGCCACAATCAGCCCCGTTAAAAGTGGATCACTTCAATGATTACCTTCCCTCGTGTTGGTAATGAGCAGCCTTGGGCATGGCAAAGAAAAGCAGCGCGCCCCCCCTTCGTTCGTCGAATCCAAAACGTCCCGCTACAAACACGGTCTTTCCACCCCTAAAGCTGAGAATGCTATCAGTTAAAATGTCAAATTGTACGCTAACAAAACACAAGTGGAGAGAGTCTGTGACAATAGCTTTAAAGAGAGGGAACTTGCAAAAGAAAACGAGGCACTGGAATATTATATATTATATATTACTAACATCATATTTATCACCCTTCTTGTTAATACTGGTATATTATAAACACCCATATTTTAAACCTTGGGTTTTTGTTTAATGTTATAACACAAAGATAATACAGGTTCTTCTGTGTGGACCAGAAAGTCAGGAAGAAAGTAAATCTTGCTACGACATAACAGTTATCTTTGTACATCAATACGACATGACCCAATTAACATATCTTATGTTTCAGGTTCTGATTAAGTTCACTGTAACAGCATCTAATGTCATTTGTAATTTGTATTAATAGGAGAGGAAAGACAGATCTACAAAAGCATGGGATGTTTATATAATCTTAACCAGAAATGTTCTCTCTATGGTCACTATCATTTTTATTTGATCATATAAATCCCACTGAGAGTTAGGTGCTGACTCACTCACTCTGTCTCTACTGAAATGATGATGAAGCAGAACGTCACCATCTTTGTTTTTGGAACCAGAAGCAACTTCACCTTTTATAAGATCAGGTGCAAAGAGGCCTAACATAACAAATATAATACAATGGACCAATCCATCTTGTGTACATACTGTGTGTCTGTGTATCTACCTATTTGTTCACCAGATGCAGGACTCACTTAGGACCTATAAGAGAGGAGACAGAAAACAATTTAAAAACAAATATTCTGCAACACTGAGAATCAAATTGAAAGTGGCATCGTATAAATTATTATATCAAAAAGCCTCTGAAGTATATGTGCAGATGATAATGAAACTGGACAGGCAGAATCAGCAATAACAAATACACTGGTTCATCAGGGGACACAGGTCACATTTTAGCAATCACAAAATATTAATATTGATTCCAGGAAATAGAAGGACCGGCTATTCCCAATTATTACAGTGGAGTGAACTCTACTGAATGCTTGATGCACGCAAAGCGATGATTTCCAAATACATGCCTTAAACACAAAAGTGAAACATCGACTTTTTGCTTGAAACACAAAACTGCTCTCAATTTCCCCGAATATTCTCCTGTAGGATGGTATCTGTCACACACTTAGATACACAGAAAGACAGTCAGATGTGAGTGTGTTACTATGCAAACATACAAGAGGAAGACATTCAATTAAATGTAATTACCTGCAAAAGACTATTCCTTAGAATCCGTGAAAACCATTCAGGTTATATTAAACTTTCCAGGTCCAGTGGAAAAACAGATTGCATCGTCTCTCACAAACACACACACACACATATCACTTCAGGGGACATTACATTGACTTACATGCATTTCCTGGAGACTTATCCTAACCTTAACCATAACCAACACATGCCTAACCCTAACCCTTAACCTAACCAAGTCTTCACCCTAAAATTAATAATTCCCCTCATGGGGTCCTCCATTTTGTCCCCATAAGGGAGGCGAGTCCCCACACGTGACTGCGTAAACAGATTTAGGTCCCCACAAGTATAGTAATGCTAGGCCACACACACACCCCCACACCCCCCCCCCCACACACACACACACCTAACTAGTGACATATTGTCCACATAAAGGTTGACCAATAGAGAGAATATCAGCTTTTTATGAACCATTCTCTAAAGTACTATCAAGATGTCAAATGTTTTTTTTTACAATTTAAAAGGTGGAACTGTAACAGAGACAACTTATTGCAAATACTCAAAAGAAAAAAAGACTCAGAAGCTTGAAAATGAAGGAGTTTTTTTCTACTTGTCCATTTAATAAATAAAGTTTCTTGATAGTTAAACAGATTTTGTGATCAACTGAACTCGCAGTGGCTTATATTTCCATTTCAGAAGGAAACACATTAGGGTAATGGGTTTGCTATATAAAGTAAATTACAGTACAAAACATATTTTATATTCAGACATTCATCCAGATCTGAACTGACCGGATCCAACTTTACAAACATATGAAAAGGGTTAAGTCTAAGGGGGTTGGACTTTAGGATTTTGGCTTATTTACAGTTAAGAAATCACGATTATTTCCAATCAAAAAGAGACAGAATTTCCCACAAATGGTTTATTACTCGTAACCATCAAATACAGGATTCCCCAAAGCTGTATAAACACTCACTCACTGTATGATAGAACATTTAATTAGCTAAGAGTCACAGTATGTCTATCTCTCTAATGTTACACTTTAAAATGTCAGCAGTCTTGTTTTCTAATGTCTTTTAAAATGCAACGATAGCAGTCATGTTCCCACGAAGGACCTTCTTGAAAAATACTTTTAAATACATGTAAGATTCAGCAGACAAAACAGCACCAACCGTCTCATTCAGAAAACATATGCTGTCCAAAAATATCGCAAATAAGAGTCTTTAAAAAGCATTTAATCCACAAAATAGATGCCTTTTAGTGAGAAATATGTCCATGTTGTGGAAACGGGAAAAGAAGATTGGGTTTATGTCAGTCACAAAGGGAAATTCTCTATGTTTGGGAAGAGTTAGTATCTGCGTCGTTTGTTATTTGGTCCTTCAAAAGCCTGAGGGCCCACTGGCTGCTGCTGCTGCTGTTGCTGCTGCTGTTGCTGCTGCTGCTGTTGCTGCTGATTTGGGGACTCAACTTCTGGTCGCCCCCCGATTTGTCCTCCCTGCGGAAACCTATCGTTCCGCTGAGGTTTTTAAGTGTTAAGAAAACGTGATTCACCGTACATCAGAACATCGGGTTTGGATCCAAGTGTCGGCGTCCGAGAGCAACACAAGTGAGCCAAGCAGACGAAAAGAGAGAGGAATAAGGCTATTAGTTAAGTCTACAGGTAAACAAAGTGCTTTCAACTTAATAAAGGTTTTTTTACAAATACAGGTATTTTGCAGTAGTTTTGTCCACAATAACTTTTATAGGAAAGCCTTAGAAGTTAAATTAAACACTCTTTATCCATCATTACACTACAAAAACTCAAAATCTTGCCCAGTATATTATATATTATATAATATCTAGTCAGAATATGTCTATATGTAAGACATGATAACTTCAGAAGTAACACTGCAGTGAGATATCGGGTCTTGTTTTTAGACATCATGCATCATCTTGTTAGGTCAAAAAATCTTATTTTGAATCGTATCTCAGATAAAACTGTTTTTTTTTTACATATTTATTGGAAAATCACCAACTAACTTATATTGTAACACAACATTTCCTGATCCTGGTAAGATATAGTTCAAAATGAGTTCTCCTAGCTAATTATAAGATCTGATTTATCTAAATATCCCATCTTATTTCAAGAACTCTTACCAAGCTAATTTGTTCTATTGGCAGATTTTTGTACTTATTTCAAGTGAAAACACCTTGTTTTCATTATTTCGTAACTTGTTTTTGGAGTAGCATTTGTTCCAGTGTACGAGGCAATGCTACTCTATAAAGAAAGCAGCTTTAATATCCTCATTTTGTTTCCTGATACATTACCATTGCTCCGTTCTCCGACATCAATGGCGACCCCATATTTGCCGTTCCCTCTTGGCCAATGGCTGCTCCCCTTCCACTCATTCCCATCATCTGACCCTGGTTACCATTGGCCCCCGGAGAGCCCTGGTTATAGCCATCTACACGCAAACAAACGCAGCATTGGTTGGTTTGTGGGAATTGTGGGTAAGGTATTCCATATTTAAAGTAGTCAACAGCTAGTGTATTATGTTACAATGTATATTGAGGGTAACACTTCACAGATAGATAAACTAGACAGCAATTAATAACGACAAGTTCTCACTTATAGTGCGACATGTGCAATTGTGTAGACATTATGTGATGTATTGTGATTTGTTCTCTTTTGCATTGCATCCCATGTGAGTCCATGCACACCAAAAGACAGTCAAAACATACAAAGCATTACAAAAATGTGCATCTAGGAGCCACTTGGGATGCAGGACAAAGAGTTCAAATATGACATTACGTCGTCACTTCATTATCTGGTTTTTATAACATGATGCCCGTACCTCCCAAATTAGCGGCTCCACGAGCGCCCAGTTCACCTCCTCTCATTTCCTGCTCTCTCTGTAGGAAGTGAAGAAGAGCCTTCAGAACAAAACCCTGCTAAAAGTATAATTCTTCAACTGAGAAGCTACCAGACAACACTCACACTGTTACAACAAAACTGATGACAGAAATTGCCCATTGCTCTGATTTAATATAATTATCATTCTGCGAAAATGAAGGACTTGCAAGGTACAGATATTTCACAGAACATGTTATTGTTTTACTAACATCTACCAATCATTCTTCATCGAAAAGTAGTTGCTGAGCAGCGGCTAAGCACTAGATGGCAGCAGATAGCGTTTATATTCTTTAATAATACTCCTGCTAGCAAAAAAATAAATATCACATGTTAAATTAAGTACACATCAAGATGTATTTATCTTATTGCAAAGCAGTGTGTGTATAATATTTAAATCAACCTGACAAGCTGAACTTTTTATTCCTGATAGCAGGTTTGTTCTATGTATGAAAGTGCAAATGTAACTAGACTTCAGTGTTTCTAAGCGTGCTTGTTTGTGATCCAGATGTACTCACGTTGTCCGGGTAGTTTGGTTTGAATCCTTCTGCTGGACGTCTCTGTTCCTCCTGTTCTCTGTGCCTCATCGCCTCCTCCTCTCGCCTCCTCCTCTCCTCTTCATGCCTGCAACCACACAGAATAAAGACACATCAAATCAAACAATCTGACTATAAACAGCCTGTCTGTGTAGCTCAGTGATTTGCATCCACTGTTCTGCGGCACACCAGTAAGAGGTCGTCATGTGAGCCGTGGCTTAAAGGTTGAAAAACACTCTGATGTAGAGAAAGAAAGAAAGCACACCTCATCTCTATCTGCTGTCGTCTCTGCAGCTCCTGGTTGCGAAGCTCCTCCAGCCTCCTCAGCTCCTCCTGACGCCTCATCAGATCTGGAGGAAGCCACAAAAAAGTATCACATTGAGCATCAAAACAGAAGGACAACATGCATGGATTATGGCAGCTTCACAGCCCCTACCTTGTCTCATCATCATGAGCTGGTGTTCGTGTTTGGCCGACTCCAGCTCGGCCTCCAGCTTCTCTTTGGCCTCTTTTATGTTCTTGTCCACCTGCTCTTTCTGCTGTTTCTCCATCTCATGAAGGGCTTTCCAGCGAGACGAGTATTCAAACTCAAAAGTCCCCGGCTGAGCAAAATGTGGCTTCAGCTCTCGTTCCCTAGGGGGAAGGAGACAAAAAAAGAGAATAACTCTTTGCTATACTGACAGACAACCACGTGCATGGTGGAGTTGGAAATGTTCTAATAACAAACACCAGTAAAACAGACTTAAGTACATTTTAATGAAACAGAAACTTAACTTGTCTTTGTACTTACTTATAGTATTTTGCGGTCTTGTGCAGCAGTTTCTCAGGCTGTCCATCCTCATCATCAAAGTGCTCCGAGGGCTCCACAATGGCTGGACAAGGTGTGCTGAAGAAAGGTAAGACAACACTAAATTAATCCTGTGATGTTACAAGAAGGTGATGGTCAGTGGTTTTGGAGTAGAGCGATAGCAAGGTTACATCAATTTAATAGATGTGTCTGCATGGATTTTGTTAAAGAAAATTCAGTCCTGCACTCCTCACTTGGTCAGCAGCAGTGCTCCCTCCGTGCATTGCTCCAGAGCTTTTCGTGCCGCTGATTTGTGTGCAAACTCCACGATGCCTCTCCCAGTGGGACGACCGCGGTCATCCGTCACCACGATAGCCCGTTCCACCGGCCCAAACTCAGAAAACGCCTGATGGCAGAAGAAAGGGCTTCAGATTACAGGGTATGTGCACAGAAATCATCGATTCTGTAGAAGTAAGATTGACAAACATCCTAATCTTAATGAATTTCTGAAGTGTTGAAACTCTTGTCCTACCTGTTCTAGCAGCTCATTGGTCACTGCAGGTAACAGGTTGCGTACAGTGAGTGCAGAACCGTGTGTAGCAAAGCGTATCCTGATTGGTCGATTGTTCATCACAGTCCCATCCAACTCACATTTAGCAATCTCTGCTAGTGTCCGTGTTTCCTGGAAGACAAGAGATACAAGAAAAAGGTTGACGATACCTCAGTGATGCGCATTAAGGTTTCAATTAGGGCTGAATGATAAATATATAAATAGTCGTTTAAACTTTAAGATATCTGACAGTCCAGAATCTGCATCGTTGCATCAACACTTGTACAACTGTCTGTGCAAGGTTCAAACTAAACTGAGATGAGAAACAAGACGTATTTAAAAAGGGCTGCCCTCTCTTAGTCGACTAATTGGTCCTTTTTGTCTTAGGTTTAGAATAAGCGTGCATCTGTTTGCATTCCACATGTGTATTTTTACTACAATATTAGTAGCAGTGTTTTTTTGACCTCTTGACATGCATGTAGTTGACTTCTTACGCATTTACCGGCACATTCATTTGGAACATTCTCTTGCACAATTTTATTTTATTTCTGTTTTTATTCACTCCATTTTTATTGAGTATATATATATATGTTGCAGTGTTGGAGTAGCCTGGGATTTGCATTGCCATATATACACTCTAGCTACTATGCATATGACAACAAAGCCTTTGAATCTTGAATGGATCAAAAATATTTCTGTAGTCAATAAATGTTTTGTCATGCTTATTTCCAATTATCTTATGTGTTTATGGCAAACACATGATTTAAAGTGGGGCTTTTGCATGATTATTTGTGGAGAAACATATAACAGGAAACACTCCAACACACACTTGAAATCACAAGGACTTACCAAACGAATGATGCCGAAGCCCCTCTCTCTGTTGATAAACACCTCGCTGATATTTCCATATTTAGCAAACATATCTTTGAACTCTTCCTCGGGGATATCCACCGGGAGGTTCCCCACAAAAAGCCGGGATCTCTGAGTGAAAGTCTTCTCTCCAGGCTTCCTAAAACTGTTGATATCCAGGGTCATTTCATCCCGGGGTTCCTCGCTTCCTTCCCCGGCTTCTTCTGCTGGTTCGGCCCCAGGAGAAAGCTCCTCCTTCGGCTCTGGACTGTCTTTGTTCCCCGGTGATTCCTCCGGGGAGTCGGTGGTGCGTAAAGCTGGTTGGGGAGAATTACTGCTTTGCATGGTCGCTTGATGCATGTTTCGCTTAGCCATTCGTGGACAAAGTACTTGTAGAAAGCGATTAAATTAAACAGAAATTGAGGAGGTTGTTGTGGACCAGATGGCGCACACCTCCTGATTTTCAAAAATGGCGATGGATGCGTGCGCAACTTCTTATTTTGATCCACGCAAGTGCGTAAATACAAAATGTGGACGCCAGGGGACCCCCTTTCAGCTATTAGGAGCTCTATAAATGTGTTAATTTCCTTATCAATTAATATGCATAAAACATATTTGGTTGATTCATCTTTGAGTCTAAATAAAGAGTGAGAAAGTAGTGAAGACGACTTTAAAAATTATTCCAATGATCACAATTAGGAGGCTTGAATAATATATATTTTTTTAAATCCAGCAGCCCTACAGCCAGCAAGTCAAGTAATGTGTTCAATATAGCCCCGAATGGATATCCAACAACACTCTCTGCTATAGTAGAGCCATTTCTCTAACACACACAATGGGAGGCACTATGAGCTCCTAAGTAATATTTCCTTAGTGTGTGAAAAGGATTCCAGACAGACGGGCCAGACAAAATACATCCAATAAACAATGGAAAATAAACATTGGAATATAGCGTTAAAGTGTAAAACAGTAATGTGATGAATATAACGACAATGCCAATATGCAACATTTCATTTCCATAATATTTTTTCCATCTACTGTTCAAATTACACACATACAAGAAATAATGTAACGTAAAGTATTTAAATAACTAAAGTGCATCTTATTTTCCAGTTAAGTGGAAAACATCCATCCTTGCCACTTTAATATGAAGTCTAAAAACGACAGGTCATGACAAACTTCTTAAACCTATTCATTTTGTGATTTAAGAGTTGGGTAAGCACTAGCCAAAAGGCAACTAGCAAGAGGACCTGCATGTCATAGTTAAATGATACTTAAGTCAGTAAAACAAAGTCATTTCAACTGGAGGTTTAGATACATTGAGAAAAATGCCTTGACATGCTTTATGGAGAAACAATTAGCAAATATTAGTTTGGAATGAACAGACAGGAAATAAAAAGGTAGCCCATCTACTGGTGTCTTTATTATAGCATGTGGCTAGAGAGATAGAAATCCACAATATAACCAAAAACAAAAATTACAGTATTGGTTTGACAAGAAACATTTATTTGTGCAAGTTATACGAGAAGCTCCACATATAAACTCTAAAAAAATTAAAAAAACGCCGGCTCTACTTAAATAAATTGAGGTAACAATTTGCGTTGATCTTAAGTATTTCCAATTTGATCGATTAAGTTAATCCGAGTACCCATTTATAATCTGATTAACTCGGTTCAGTAGGCTACTACAAACATCATTTGCTTTCACCTTTAAAAACTAAATTAAGTTGAACCAACTTCATTTTAATCGTAAAGATGGAGTGATATTAAGTTGCATTTTGTACTTTTTCAGTTTGACCGATTTATTAAAATGAGTTGAGGTAAAAAAATTAATTTTCTATGTTGAAAAAGTATTTTATTTTCTACTAACCCCATGAATCGTTTTTTAGCATGTAGGGTATTTAAGTCCATGAAGGTAGTAGGTAGGTACACATCTCAACTGGAGATCCTTAGAACCCTTGAGAGCCGTTTGTTAAATCAAAAACACCATCTAAAAACGTGTATGTACACATCCGCTTAATTTACTTGGGACTATAAAAATGTTGCTTCAGTCACCTCTAAAGAAAGCCCTGAGAATATACAGAAGGATTCTAGATTTGGTTTGTACTGATGGCGATTATAGTGTGTGCCCAGCAGCACAATGAGTAAGTCAAACAGAAAACAATTAAACATTTTAATTCTTTCAAAACATAATGGTTAAAATATAAGAGCTTTTTGCTCAATTGTCTGTTGGCACTTGCAGTTCCCATCACAGTCATTCACCGGTGAAGAGAGAGAACGCAACAAAATAAATCACACATAAGAGATGTATTTTGTTAGCGCTTTTATAGGTGCTCAAAGTCGCTTTACAAAGATAGTGAAAAGAAAACAAATACAGTTAGTCAAATTAAAATCAAGCAAACAATAAAAGTTTTTTGAAGGTGGTGAGGTCAGTGCAGTGCAGTCTCTGATGGGTTGGGGGAGTGAGTTCCAGAGGGAGGGGGCAGCGACAGAGAAGGCTCTGTCCCGCCCCAGGTCCGGTGATTGGTGCGGGTGGGGATGGATAGGAGGCAGCGGGAAGGGGTGTAGTGGTGCAGCAGGTCTGTGAGGTAGGGGGGGGGGGGGGGGGGGGGGGGTGGTGGTGCAGCAGGTCTGTGAGGTAGGGGGCTCTGTCCCGCCCCATGTCCGGTGATTGGTGCGGGTGGGGATGGATAGGAGGCAGCGGGAAGGGGTGTGGTGGTGCAGCAGGTCTGTGAACAGTATTGAGCAAATTGAGCAGAACAGCGTGACAGAGGCCACACAATCATTTATTTCAGCCTCCAGGGCGATCTGCTAGTTTTCTAAAGACATTATACTCATTTTGAAGATGTGCAAAGCCCTTCTCTTCCCTCCTATATAAAGAACTTGAGTTTATTCTCTGCCGCCGAGTCCTCACCTTGTAAAATAACTTTACAGCTTCCTCTGCTGCCAGCCGGGAGCCGGATGTTAAATTACTAAAATAAGTCCTTATACCTATCTTTTTAACAATAAATAACATAACGTCTAACATTTAGGGATGCCCTGATCTAACTTTTACTTTCCTGATACCTCAACTAAGAGCATCTTCTGTTACAGATCACTCCAACGGTGATTTTGTTACCCCAAATGTTGGTTTACATGCAACTATTTAGGTATGTTTAATAAGAGATGCACTGGAAACTAAGTTTTTGACCTGCTGTGACGATGAATGTTACAGATACAATGACATTGACAAATACATTGTATTTAAAGTGAATTGTTCAATACCTGATCTATAAACAGCACCCTGGATTCATTCCTAGCTAGGTTTTAATATTACAACATGACTGAAAAGAGAATGATACATATTATTTTTTGTGACAAACCTCGGTTGGTGACTTGGCCCGGACTGGTCGACGAGCTGCAACTCCCAGGTTTGACTGGTTTGCATCGCGTACTCATTAAGGCTGCAGAAGGGGTTCTTCTTTAACACAATAACAAGTTTGGCCACGTCCTGGGGAGGTGGAGCAGCCAGATTAATAAAATCAGGGTAGACTTCCAAGGCTGGTAACCTCAACTCAATACATCAAGTAAACAGACATTTCACATCATCCAAGGACAAAGTGTAGTTTACATGCAAGCCCTAACATTTGTTTCCAGTAAACATTATGCTCCAGCCCCACCTAGTGTCAGCAGAAAGTATTACAAATAATGATTACAAAAAAAATTAAAAATAAATAAAAATATATTTTAAGATCATAGTTAATCATCTGATTCGTCTGTACATTGCTGTTTTAGTCTGTGTTCTTGACAAGTTTTAAAAGGGTAGCTTACCTTTTTTAAAGGATTTCACAGCTTTAACATTTACTCAATATTTTTAAGTGTACAAATGTTTCACCAATAGAATTGAGTACATCATAGTTCACCAACTTCAAGGAATACAACAGGCACATACCCTCTCAGAAACCCCAAAACAAAGAGACTGTTCTACCTTACATCACCAGCAGGTGTCGCAGCAGCGCACTTGTCTCTGCGACCCCGTCAATCACTCCATCAGTGTCCAGAGCCATCAGAATCTCCTTCTCTGTGCACATGAGCATGAATGCCTCCATATGCTCCTGGGTCAGGGTGGTCCTCAGTCGATTCTTCACATATTTCAGTGTGGAGAAGGTCCTCTCACAGGCAACTTGACTGAATGACAGTGTTAGGAGGAACTTGTAGCCCAATCCAATGACATGATAGGCATCAGTCAGCAAGTTGTACTGTGACAAGACATGATGCACACAAATAGCACAGTTTTTGCAGTAGTTGCAACTGTTCTCTAGCTCCAGGTCTTCTTCTCTTCCATCCTCCCCTTCGGTTGTCCTGACATTGTATGCATCCAAATGGGGCATCTTAAGTCTTTCCCAACAGTTGGCTAGGCTTGACAGCTCAGCCTGCAGTATTCCAGCAGTGGCTCTTTCATCATACTTCTGCAAGCATTCGCTCAGCTTTTGCAATGCTTCTGTTGGAAGGCCCATTTCCTTTATTTTAGGGAAATTCCGAGGATCAAGACATGCAAAGTCTGCGCAGAGTGGTCCATTTGCAGCATAGCGACTCTGAATACTCTCTGTGACTGTGTCCAGAATTACATTGTGGACCTTGATCCTGTAGTCTGCCTCAGCGTCTGACACAGGCTCATCTTCAGCCAACTCACCTGGCATGGCCTTCTTTCTCCTGGCCCGTTTCTCTGGGAGCACAGCTTGGACCACAACTTCACAGTCCTCCTTCTCCTGCAGCTTGGCATTGGCCCACTCCACAAATGCATCTGCTGCTCTTTTCACCTCATCAAAACCCCTGACACACTTGTTGAGGCTCTCTTGGGTCCCTATTACTAACCGATGGGCAGTCAGTAAGTCCATGCCGCTGGTTTGGAGATACTTGGAGAGGGGTGACGTGATTTCAAATATTCGGAGAAAGATCTGAGCGGTCTGTTATGTCAAGTCTTGGACCTTCTCAATATAACTATAATTTAATTACAGTTTCCAGATATTGGAAGAGGCCTATGAGTCTCTTTGCTAATTATCAATGGTCTTTGCAATTAACAGCAGATGTACCCATGTTAAGTAAATTGGCAAAGGTCAGAGGAACTCCAAGAGAGGTCTTCCTCAGATATAATACAGTTAAAGTCTTGTTAGTTAGTGGTTCATATCCAGCATGCATTAGCTAAGAAACGATAAGGATGTTGGTGTGTTAGTTAATGTAAAGAAATGTATGTGCGCTCATGTGCAGACGATATATATAGTTTGTTAATTGGATAATTCATATCCTGCAAGGCTCCTAAAGACTTCATGAGATAATGACCTTTTGACATCTGGAACTTACATGTTGCTCTGATGTTGGTGCGTCCAAGTTTAGGAGACCTGACAATGTGTGTGCGTTAAACATGATTAGGGAACATGTTCGTGTGTCATTTAGGAAACCTATAAGTGTCTTGTGTTTCTGAATATTCGAAGAAGGCATTGCTGTAGGACTGCTTGAGAGCAGAGGTAATGTTTTCCTCATTATTATTGATTGTTGTACAACGAAATAATAATTGATCAACTATACCTGTGTTTGTGTTTTATTGATTCCTCTCTGTTTCATTCTTTCATGTTGTGTGAGTACTTGGATCGCCACAACAGGTCAGTATTGTCTCGAACCTTAGGAGAGACTCTGTGTACCCCCTGGCTTTTGCTCTGACATGTGGCTTCATGGAGTCATCTTCTTCAATCCTTGTTAATGTTGACACCAAGTCAATAAACAAGGCCTACTTTCAAAAACATAAGATTGACAAGTTTGACAACCTATCAATAGCCCCGTTTACATGGAATGTTTTTCCGGTCGTATCCGATCACTAAATAAAGCGATCCACGTTCACTCGTGGGCCAAGCATTAAGCTGATTACAATTTCACCGGTACCGAAGTGGGCCGATCGGAGTGGGGCAGTGGGCCGCGTCGAGTGGTCCGACCGGCCCACTTCGGTACCGGGCTACCGGCCCATCGGGATTCGTCCCGAACGTCCCGATGGCCAGTCCGCCCCTGGATGCAGGGCGTACTCCATTAGGCTGCTGATCCAGGACTATTATCCAGAGTGTGCTCGCCAGCTGTTTCTTCTCCACTCCAACCACATAGGGATTTTTCTCGAAGGCTCGCTCCAGACGCAGCAGCTGAGACTGAGAGAACGCCGTCCGGATGCGTAACACATGGGTCTCGTCCGGGATCTTTGAGACAAGGAGTGAGTAATTGATTTTGTTTGTGTTATTGTCTTTAGTGGTGAGCAGTAGTGTGTATATATATATGTTACACTGGCCTGCCCTTAATGATAAACAAGACACAGAGTATACGCTATCATTTACAAGTGGTCATGCATGCAGCAGTTTTAGAAAGTCACCCAAGGAACACAAAAGTTGTCTTTAGCTGTCTTTATGGTTCACAGCGTTTACGTTACATTCAGAACAGGCACTGTTGGCTGAAACTTAATGAGTCATATAACGTTAGGAGAGAGTGTAAGCTAACGGCGTATCAGAGTAGGCTAATTGCAGGATGTTAAATTACTAAAATAAGTCCTTTTACCTATCTTTTTAACAATAAATAACATAACGTCTAAGCTAAGAATGTTCTGCAAAATTATCGCACCAAATTGATACTTAATATACAACAACGCGCAGAGTTATAAAAAGGACACGTGGCACACACACAAACAATTTACCAGAACATCATACATTTTAAGATCTACGGACCTCTCACACAACAGGATCGGAGTGTCTTACCTGTCCTCTGCACGCTTCATGTGTGTTACCCGGCTCGCACGCACCACCTATTTAACTCCTTCAGGTTGCAGCACCGGGGCTGAATCTGATTAGGGTGATTACACCCAGCTTGCCAGAGGGGGCAGGGCCGCCTGCGATCATTACCCACTCGATTTCTATCCCTATTAATCGGTAATTTGTATTTAAATTAACATATTTGTAACGCTAATGATTTCATTTCTTATTAAAATTAAGCTATTTTGTTATTGATATGTATTTATATATAATATTTTTCGACTACTTGTAATCTGTATTTATTTGATATTTAGTAGGGCCACAGGCTCTGTTTGACTTATTGAATCTTTAAATGTATCCCAATGTGAAGGGTTGCTATCCTCCTCATACCATGCATTTCGCTCAGGGAATGTGAAAAAGCAAGCGGTTTGGAGGGTCTTGTAATTTGCCTGCAGGAATAAGGCATGCTCATTATACAGAGAAGAGTTACCGTTTGATCTCTTTTGATCCTTAGCATCACCTTTAAGCATTTTACATAACTGCATTTCTCAAAGAAGATCTTACTGGCTTTTTAATGACTGTTTTTTATTATATTTACATGTCCTTTTGCAATGTGTTGTCTCAATGCTTTTGATGTGTTGTGTATAGGAATTGCCTTGCTGCTGAAATGTGCTATAAATAAACTTGCCTTGCCTAGAATCAATTAAGTGAATGCTAAATATGTAGCCTAGTTGTTTCATAGCACTCAATGGTGGGGGTGATTGCAGAAAAATGCATGAAGCAGTGTGTAAAATATCAGTGTAACAAGTAAAAAGTCAAATATTTAGCAGAATTCAAGAAAATAAGTGCCTCATCATGCATCTCAAGTGGAGCAATGGAAAAATACTTTGGTTATATGACAATGCTTACTGGTGGGATCCACAAAACGTGTTTAAAATGTAAATATATTACTGATCCAGCTGCAGTGTTGCTGATGGGACTAGTAGTGACGTAACAGTGACGTTGCAGCCCCCTCCTCCTTTCAGTTGTCCGCTGAGCAGCAGCACAGTGTAGTATTTTCATCTGAGCTGCACACTCCTTCGGGCATATCGAGGAAATAAAGCCGGTGAGTTAAAATATAAAGTCTGTTTGCATACTGAGTCAATGTTAATGCATCAGTAAATGTCACTAGTGGTTAGTAAGTGCGCTAATTTATGTTTCTTTAACGATAAGATCATTGAAACCCACTTTTAAATTCCGTTTGAAGTCATTTTTCTGTGAGTAACATTAGTTATTAATTGACATATTAGTATACCGATATCTCAGTGTGAACACCTCTGTTGTATTTTAATAACTTAGGGTTTAAAGTGCTGAGAAATACGCGTTTTAATTAATTAGTCTGTTATAATGTATGTATGTGAAGTGAGGTTTAAAACGGAGTTTGATATGCATCTTGCATCAGAAATATAATCTTTTATAATAATACTATTGAAATACAGGCAGTCTACACGTGTATTTATGTGCACAGAGTTGTATTTGCTACTCTGCATTGTTTGTGATTATTGTCCACATTATTCATGATGAATAACTTGTAAAGTTTGTACTATTTACTTGACAACAACAGCTAAGTTTACAGTTTCAGATTGTAAATGTGCTCTTAATATATGATGCAGTGTCATTTATTAAACTACACAATACTAGCTTCACCTCCAACAGTTATCAAAACATAGCTTATGCAGTACTTCATCAGTGATATAAATCAAGTATAGAATCCTACATTCTGGACTATATCTTCTTGAAGAGTTGTTTTCTGCTTTTACTTAAACATCCAAACACTTCCTTGAAGAATAAACTGGTTTTCAGGAGGTTTTAATAACCTAAAAGACAGTAGAATTCCCTTAATGCACACTCTGTTTCCCTTTGTGTGTCTGTAACATGTGCATGTGTAAGGTAAATATTGTACTTTCCATACAGTGTACCCTTGAGCCTTTTAGCTGCCTAGTAAAAAAAGAGTTCAGCAACACTTTCTGTCATTTCTCCGGTGCAGTCATGTGTCTGCGGCTCAGTGAAAAACATGAGCAGTGGTATGTCAGAAGTTAAGCCCCTGCCATATGTGTCTGGTCCATCGGAGCTGCTGGATATCGGCTGGACTTCAAAGGCGACCCTGGTGGCCCGACTCTTGTATTCTTTAGACACGCATGACAAACCTGGAGTAATTAACCTTCAAGTAAAGAATTAAGTTCACACAGCAGCCCAGATCAGTTTGCAACTGTTCTAGTGATTTTTTAAACACTCGTTTTGGCTCTGTTGTTCGGGGTCGAACGAGGAACATTTTTGGCTTAAGCTGCCGATGTTGTTTTACCATGTGATGCATTTAAGTGTGACAGAATGAACAACTGCAGAGGCCTCGGGGTATTACAAACCATTTCTCTTTTTCTCAGCCTGGTGCGTTTAAGTGTTCCTCATGTACAGTATAACATTACAACATTAGACTTGTATGTATACCAGCAATTAACACAAGCATCATCCGTGAAAGAAACTGTCACAAATGCAATACAATAGCCTAATAGTATCTTTATTTAAACAGCAGTTATCAAAACATTAAAAAAAAAGCACTAAAACATAGCAATAACAAGATAAAAGTACTAAAATAACAAAAAGGAAATATAGACTGGATAGAGACTAGACAAATGTTAAATCAGTGCGATAAGAAACGTTGTTTGCAGTCTGATTTTGGATCAAGATGACTCTCCCAATATTATTTACAATGTTTTGGCTCATTCATGCGCGTCGTAAATATGATAACTCTGACAGCACTGACTGCAGATATATATTTAAGCATATTTTCAGTAACAAGGCTTAACCTTTGACCTTCTGAAGTCTGATTTACAACACTGGACTGCAGAAAAACTAGTTAACAGTCAATCCTGTTGATAAAAAACTTGTTTTCTGGACAAAATGGGACACTAGTGTTCAGATAGCTCAAATTACATTAAAGAAAACTGTTTCTTCTAAATACTGTCAGACCCACTCATCAACTTTTACACTCACAATCTGCCAACTTTATCCTCTGTAGTCAGGGGGGGACAGGAAGATTTAGACCGGCCCTCCTTCAGATTCCTTCAGCGCTGCGACCCAGAAGGAGTGGGTCGGCGCTGATTGAACCCTCGGTGATATAACCCCTCTCCAGTTTTAACACGGAGCCATTGTATCTAATCCCTGCACTCCAGATTTCACTCCATGCAAGGCCTCGCATCTCTCAGACGGCTCAAAGCTGGAGAGTTTAATCCCAAATTTTCCTTTCAGCGTACAGAATAAAATTAGGAGCCATACAGTAGAGCTGAGGAGCTTCTAATGCAAGCAAATAAACTCAAAGGCTTCTCTTAAATTAAATCATACTCAATCTTGTAATGAAGTTTGTAGACTCAACTTCTGTGCAAACAAGATTTCAAATGTGTTAGTTATATATAAAAACCCTTCATAGCACATTGTCTACATGTTAAATCTAGTTGACCTGATTTATTTCCTTTAACATATGCACACCATATCCTGTATGGGTTTTCTATGCACAGCTATGGATCGGTGTTATTGGGGCATGCATAATGCTAAAAAAATAACCATTTACAACCACACAGTCAGCACAACGCCTGGGGGAGAAGCGTCGCATGGAGTCGGGGGCATGTGAACTCATGGCTGATCTTACACTATGATCTTAATTCACGGGCTAACCAGGTCATCTGGTAAATAATTCATTGAGTGACGTCTCAGTGAATCCAAAAAGAGCATTTTCTTAGAGAGTATACTGCAACTGTATATTATTATATGTAAAAAAACATTACATCTAATGGAAGTCTGTTCGTAATAAAGGACTTTTTTACTGAAATAATATAATAAATAATACGTTTATTTCGTATAGCATCTTTCACAGAAATACAAGTGCTTCACAAGAAAGTTAAAATTAAGACCACAGAAAATACAATAACAACATGAGGCAGACATTAAGCTTATCATAAAAACAAAACACAGACATATGATCCAAAAAGACCCACATTGGTGTTGAAATGATAAATGTCATCATGCCGTAATAAGCTGTAATATGTTCTGCATGAGTGTCAAACCCTTCGGCTAAATGGAGAGGTGTTCAAGTTAATCTCTACAGTATATGTTTGTCGCTGACTTGTCAAATCCTTCTTTGTAGTCTGGAACAAATGTAGTTCCTGCCACGTAAACATGACCGTAGTTGCACCTGATTAGGCAATGTTTAAACGGATTAACACGGCAGCTTACAGGATATTACATAAATTCCTCAACAAAGTCAGTCTCATAGAGAGGAATGTTGGCTTATTGTTGATTTTCCTAGTTTGAAACCACTGTTGCAATCTCCAGTTTAAACGAGAGTCGGAGTTAAGGACAATACAGACGCTTAGCGATGAATATCCCAATGCATAGTGGAGAAAGACCCCATCTGGCAAGCTAGGACTAATGGCTAAATTCCCAGAGGGCACGATGGGTGTTGGGATTGAAACATAACTCATGTTTGAGTCAGAAGTGACAGTGTTAATAGTTATAATAGATCACATCCTATGCTTCGTGTGCAGCCTGGCAGGGATCCTTTTGACATTTAAATAATGAAGTGTGTTCACAGCATGAGCCACACACACAGCTGATCACTCCTGTACACCATTTCTTTCTACTACAACACACTACTTTGCTTTTCTCTAAAGAACACGTATGTTTTTATATTCTCCATTCAATCCAACAGCGAAAAATATGACATAAATAACGCTGGGGATTCCTTTGAAACATCTTATGTGGTTCATTTCAGTGGCTTGTGATCCCTTTCTTCTGCAGGGTTTGTCTACCCAAGTGCATGAAGGAACATTTGGACAAAGATGGAGGCCTGGCCAACCGTGGCCTGGGTCCTGCTGATGACCAACATTGCTGATTGGCTGAAAACTGTCCAATGCCGGGACTTCACCATGACGGACATCATCCAGCTGCATCCCTCAAGTAAGAGCATATTTTAATTTATAAAACGGACAAGTCAAATCAAGCAATCTGATTGGTTCTTAGCCGTGATATAATGAGCGTATATCACGGGTGGAATTGTAATTACTTTTCACAACAAGTCAGTATCCCTCCGCGTCTGAGAAGAGCTACAACCGTTACAGCTGTTACATTACGTCCGTTACGAAACTAACTAACTAACAAAGCTTAAGATGGAAATATGTAAGGGATAATGTGCAGCAAGGACTTATTGACCGTTGTTAAGGACGCTAACATCTGCAGAAAGAAGTCCGGTCGATTTAACTGTATACAGTTTGGCTGTCGGGCCGAACCACGCCCCTTAACTGTGATATAATGGCCATATACCACGGCCTGTCGTGAGCTATTGCTTAAATATATATATGACACATATTAGGGGCGCTGGAAGTCATTCTATAAACTGCCCAAATGCTAACATGCTGCATGGCATTGGTGTTTTATTTTGCAGTACTTTGAATGGAAAGAATAATCTATATTCAAGATGTTAAAACAATTTACACACATCAGGTTCCCCCCCCCCCCTCTTGGTTTGCATTGGAAAACTTGGAGATATTATTTTATGAAATAATCCAAAAGCCATTTAAAAAACGGTCTTATTGTCAAGGGAACTAGATTGATGCAAACTTTTGGGGAATGACTTGAATCCATCCCTTCTTTTTCATGTTTCTTTAGTTCTCTTTCCTTGTGAGTTTGTATGTTTTGCAGCAAATGTCAACATTTCTAACTCAGATGTATTATCTGTCCTCCACAGCCACTCCTCATCCTGGTAGCTTCAAGTGTTTCACGTGTGAAGACGCGGCAGATAACTATGAGTGTAATCGCTGGGCGCCGGATGTTTACTGTCCAAAAGGTACATCAGTGTCTCCCTGTTTGCTTAGACTGAGCTTATACACATGTACTTCCCAAAAGACTATGTCTGCTGGTAAAATAATCCACATATTAAAAGCTGTGGCATGTCTTCCAGATGCCAGATACTGTCACACACTGCACATGATGGACAACCATGGAGACAGTGTGTCTGTGACCAAGCGTTGTGTGAGCCTGACGGATTGTCAGTTTACCGGCTGTGCTGACGTCACTGATAACGGCTACCAGGTACGTGGAGATTTAAAGGTCCCCTATTATACTGTTTTTCATTACTTTATTATAGGTCTCAGATATATACAAACAAGTCTCTGAAGTGTTTGTCTGAAACACCAAACAGATCATTGCAGCATCCCATAATCCCCTCTGTTTCAGCCCTGTTTCCAAAGTGCTGATTCTCTGTCTGTTACTTTAGATGAAAATAAGGAGCCCCTCCCCACGCCCCTCTGAGAGATTTGGTTTGGTTAAAAAGAACACAATGGTGCTCTAGGAGGAGATTCAGGTGATAGGGGAGGGGGGGGGGGGGGGGGGGGGGGGGGTACCTTGGTTGTGATTGGCTAATGGAAAAAAGAGAGAGAATCTTTGTTCCTGAAACTTTCAGAGTCTCTTTACACAGAGGTGACATGTTGATGTAGAAGAGACATGAAGAAGAGGGGACACGTGTTGATGTTGAAGAGACATGAAGAAGAGGGGACACATGTTGATGTAGAAGAGACATGAAGAAGAGGGGACACATGTTGATGTAGAAGAGACATGAAGAAGAAGGGACACATGTTGATGTAGAAGAGACATGAAGAAGAGGGGACACATGTTGATGTAGAAGAGACATGAAGAAGAGGGGACACATGTTGATGTAGAAGAGACATGAAGAAGAGGGGACACATGTTGATGTAGAAGAGACATGAAGAAGAGGGGACACATGTTGATGTAGAAGAGACATGAAGAAGAGGGGACACATGTTGATGAAGAAGAGACATGGAGAAGAGGGGACACATGTTGATGTAGAAGAGACATGAAGAAGAGGGGACACATGTTGATGTAGAAGAGACATGAAGAAGAGGGGACACGTGTTGATGTTGAAGAGACATGAAGAAGAGGGGACACATGTTGATGTAGAAGAGACATGAAGAAGAGGGGACACATGTTGATGTAGAAGAGACATGAAGAAGAGGGGACACATGTTGATGTAGAAGAGACATGAAGAAGAGGGGACACATGTTGATGTAGAAGAGACATGAAGAAGAGGGGACACATGTTGATGTAGAAGAGACAGGAAAAAGTGGATTTTGCATAATAGGTGACCTTCAACTTTGAACTCAAACATGAGAAGTTGTAATTATTTTACACATTCATGGCTTATTCTCCTCCTCAGATGTGTTCGTCCTGCTGTGAGGGGAACATCTGTAACGTCTTTGTGCCGAGGAATGCCAGCAGTGCCATCTTTTCCTCGTCTTCTCCTCTGATCAGCTCGAGCACGAAGCATCTCCCTACAGCGCTGAGCTACTTCCTCGTCAGCATCTGCACAGCAGCTCATCTCTGAGGGAGGAATCTGCATCTGTGGGACATACTGGACCCCATATAAGGACTGTTTTTGTAAATTACATTTTTGTACGGTGAAAATCAATGATAATATAACATATTAATGTATGTTTTTTAAACCTGGTACATGCAGAATTAGACCTGAGCTTCATGTTTGTTTCACAGTTTTAACAAATGAACTGTTCTCCCTTTACGTTAGGCTCCCTTCCTCTTCTCAGACTTGTTAAAACTATTTTGTTAATTTATTTATGCTTAGTGTGGACGTTGTAACAGTATAACTGTGTTGTTTGTCTAAGTCCATGTCCATGTTCTGAGGTTTTGTACTTAATAAATACTTGTGATATTTACTAGCATCTGGTTTTTTGCATGTTAAATATATATAGACGGATGTTATCTCTCAATAAGCACATCATTCTTCATCATTATAAAACTCAATTTTATGTTTTTTTGCACAGAATATGCTGTCAATTAACACTTAGTTGAGTGCATATTACATTTTCTTTACAAGCTTACATAATACTAAATATACGGCTCTTTATCGTCTCGTTTAAAAAAGCTTGCATACAGCAGGACAGAAAGTAAAACATAATGTATAAGTAGACTGAATTTATATTAAATATAGGATGAATCTTTTTGCATTTGCCACAACAGCAGCTGAAAAGCTTTTGAGTAATTAATGAACAGATCATAGAAGCATTAGGACAAAGCTTTATTATCCTTTACTTGACAAATAAACAGTTTTTAAGATTAAAAAGCTATTAAATCGGCAAAGTAAACATATGATGCATGTATGGATATTTACTGCGAAGTTTTTCTGACTGTGCAAGATCTATCTTGTTAATAAATAAACTAAAAATGCTTAAAAAACGAGATTTTCTTTATAAACCAAGACACTTTTAAGAAACTTAAAAGGCTTTATATGTGCCCGTATATGTGCCCTAATATCAATCATGACATTGCTTGCTCTCAAGTACTTTTTATTAATTTTTTGATAAAAAGTCAATCAATTTATAATAATAATAATCAATTCTGGGGATTTTTACTCATTTTTTTGTTGCTTTTTTTGCAAATAGATGGCGTCTGCTTTTTCCCCTCAATTTCACAGCTTTTTCTAATCAGTACATTATTTTCTTATTCATTGTTTTCAATGCTTTTACACTCGTGATAAACCGTAAAAACGCAACCGAAATGGATTTTTTTTTAAAGGGGGCGGGGCAACATTCGCCTGCAGACGTTCCATGACGTAGGAGTTATAGAGCGCAGCAGTTCTCGTGCATGAAAGCCAATGCATTCTAGAACTCTGGCTCATATGACGTCATCAGTTTAGTTTGCAAATAGACCCCTAGACAGACACTCAAGCACTTCTTTTCAGACCTTCACAAGGAGAGCCACAGAGAGAAATAGTTCAGCAGAAATTACCAGATTGCACTTAAAATGCATCAGCAATCACTGGAAATGGAAATCAGTGAAACAAGCAGCGAAACAAGCAGCGAATCCGGTAGCGACTACAGCGTAAGAAATCTAGTCTGAATCACACACACAAGGGGCCATCTTGAGAAAAAGCTACTCCTTTATTAGGTTCAGGTTTTCATTTTTGATGAAATAGCCTTTGAAATGCATAAAATAAATGCTGGTCTCTCTGTGCAATATTTCAGATTGACTACAGACATGGTTTATGAGTTTTGCAACAATTACTAAATCATTTTGGCACATTTTGAACTTGTACAACATTTGTTAAAGTCTCATCCTAATGAGAAGAGTTGGTTTTTTTGGGCTTTTTTAAAGAGGCATGACTTTTAAAACCTGATTTGCTTTATTTCCAGATTCCTTCAGACGAAATGGGAGAACTAATGTGCAGCAATTTGGATATGCCTAAGTTCACACCAGACATATTCCAACCCATAATCAAGTCATTCCTCAAGGACTTCACAAGTGTGTAAGTAACACGTTTAAAGTGATCAAGCAAATAAGCTCAGACCTGGCGTAAACATCTCTGTTTTGCTAAACCATTACTTGTCTTTTTCGTACAGGAGTTGGCAGTTGTTATCAGATGGCAAAATTGACTCAGACGCGGTCATTCTTCGTAAAAGAATGTGTCTGGACATCATAGATACGCTCACCATGCTGATCTTGGAAGTTACTTTACCTCAGGTTAATAAGTGGAACGCCGGCATCACAGCCTCCGTCCCAACGTAAGTCAACAGCTTCACAGCCACTCTTAAATTACATTTCAGTGAGCTGCAATCCTACTTTAAAGACTTTAAATCCTAACTCTTTCTATTTTTGTTTTTCAGCAAGTCGAGGGTTTATACGCAAAGGACTCATATTTATGAAATAGTGACAGAAGAAGATGTTGAGGCCAGTTTTGGGAACTGTCTTGACTGCTGTTTCGGTATGGCACTAGGACGCCCACAGGGTAAAACCGAACAATCTCAAGCACTCCTGGCTTTGCTCATAGTGTCGGTAGCAAAGAGGGTGAACTGGGGTCTTCATGAACTCACACAGCCGCACACTCCCACCTCCAATGAGTCAGTTTCATCAACTGATTTTCAAACCGAAGATATTGTTTACAACATCGCCCATATCTTGAGAGCTTGCATGGGAAATGATAAGGTGCTTCCCTTACCACAGTCTTCCCGAAGAAGCCAATACACAAGCTGCACGTTTTCAGATCAGGAGACAGATATCAGAAAGATAATGAGAGCGGCAGATGAATTGCTGGTTTTAACTGACATTGGAGAGCGTTCGGCCACTCCGGCAGGGAAGCCGCCACAAAAAAGTGCAGAGCAAGAGGAAGAAGCAGAAGGCGACGAAGAACTCAAAATAGTTTTAGATTTCCTCGCAAGTGAAAGCGAAAATGAGGCTTCCATGAAACCAGAGAGTCTGCCAAAAAGAAGTGCAAAGGAAGAAGAAGAAGAACGTCTCTATCAGGAAATTGCTGCAGAATTCCTCGCAAGTGAAAGGGAAGATGAGGCTTCGATGAAACCAGAGAGTCTGCCAAAAAGAAGTGCAAAGGAAGAAGAAGAAGAACGTCTCTATCAGGAAACTGCTGCAGAATTCCTCGCAAGTGAAAGCGAAAATGAGGCTTCCATGAAACCAGAGAGTCTGCCAAAAAGAAGTGCAAAGGAAGAAGAAGAAGAACGTCTCTATCAGGAAACTGCTGCAGAATTCCTCTCACGTGAAAGCGAAGATGAGGCTTCCATGAAACCAGAGAATCGGCCAAAGAAAAGTGCCGAGCAAGAGGAAGAAAACGAGAGAACCCTCAAAGCAGTTTTAGAATTCCTCGCAAGTGAAGGCGAAGATTACACTCCGATTGAACGAGAGAATCTGCCACGAAAAGCAGCAGAGAAATTGGAAAAAGAAGCAATCCACTATTCATTAGTACACATCTCCCCGGGAGAGATTATTCAGGATTATGACATTTATGGAGAGAAATCAGAATTGAGACTTTCTTCCAGTTTGGTCGTTAAAGCATCTGAAAGTTATGGAGAGCGGCGGCCACTAAAATCAGAAAAACAAGGAAGTGAATGTACGAGTCCTTCTTCCAGTTTAGTCAATGAAACATCTCATATTTATGTCGAGAAGTTGCCAAAACAACGCCGAAAAGGCATCAAAAAGGGCAAAAAGAAGGCTGATTACTCTTCAACAGAGACTTCAGACGGAGGCACACAGCAACGATACAACGAAAGGTACCAAGATGAAGAGGATGCTTTCTACTCTGAAGAAAAGTTGCTAATAAAGCAACACAGGACCTGTCTCACTGTGTTTCTAGCCAAGCTACTAGAGCACATTGCACCCCCAAACCAGACAATTTACCACAGTGACTTCGAGGGGATGGTGGAGCGTCTGAGAATGAAGACGGATAAGATCGGATTTGCCACTCTCCTGAGAACCCGTGAAAACATCCACATCCCAGTCTACAAAGACCTCGTCGAGCAGTTTGGATCTGCGGAGGACATTCAGAGTGCCATCACATACAAAACTGCAGTTTTTGAGAAAGCTGTATCCACGGCATTGAAAGAAAATCTGTGGAAGTCTTCAGAGAAAACTCGCAGGACTGCCGTGAAGAGGAAGACCAAGAAGAGGGTCAAGCAATTATCCACAGACAGTGAGATGAACACATCGTCAGTGTCGGAAGAGTTCGAGGTGGTGATAGCATCCACACCCCTACCACAGAAGAACAAGAAGAAGTGCATCTTATGTCGCATGATCAAGTGCGTCACTAAGTTCTTCAGCAAGGTGTTCAAGTGAGGAAGCAGCGCTGGATCGCAAGCTTGTAGAAAACGTGCATCAACACATTTTCCATTTTGTGTGAATCTTTGCTCGACTTTTTCAAACAAGTCTGAGTTTGTCTTAAATTGATTGATAGATTTATGTATTTTTTAGTTTTTATCCTCTAGGCTTTAGTCTTTTAATTTTACTGTAACTTTTATCATATATTTGTTATGTTTATTTTAAGTTTATTTGCTTTTTCATTACTGTTTTTAAATGCCATTTTATAATGTTTTTTCCGTAACACTATGTATTTTCTTTCTTTAAAATGTTTGTATTGATTGTGTTGCAACACGGTTCTTTTCTGCGCCGTGCATGCTCGGGTTTCCTCCGGGGTTCTCCGGTTTCCCCGAGGTAATTTAATAAAATTACAATAAATATATATCTGCTTTGTCATGTACTTATCATCAGAGGTAGAACAGGAGTCAAGAGAACGCTCTCATTATTAGAATTGTGTCAAGTTGAAGTTTAAGGAGTGAGCCTTTCTGCAGTAAATCTCATTTACTACTAGAGGGCGACAATAACCAAACATTTCTGCAAAACAGTTTTAGCTTTGTGACAATCAAATTGCAAAAAGAAATGTCTGACAGTATCTCAGTTGTGTTTATTGTTCATGTATGAGTGAG